TTCAGGAGCACGCTGGGTGGCACAAAATATATCCATGTATTCTCAGTGGTTCAGGAACACACTGGGTGGCACAGGAGCACGCTGGGTGGCACAAATCAGGTTGCTTGAGCTTAAGTCCAGCTCCAATACTTAATGAGCTGGGTGACCTTCGGCAAGTTACTTAACCTCTCTTTACTTCAGAATCTGTATAAAATGAGGATGACAAAGGAACCACCTCATAGGGCTCGTATGAAAAATAAGAAAAATAGTGCAAAGTGCTTAGTGCTTCAGCAGAAACCATGCTCAAATGGCAGTTATGGTGCCCCTCACTGCCACCATCGCCACCTGGTTAACCTGTTCACCCCTAAGCTGGAGACAGACTTCATTAGCCAGATTCATTTATGAAATTAGAAAATGCTAAATTAGCTTTTAATAAGAGATAGCAATTGCTGTTTGTAAAAACCTACAGATGTATCAACTCTCACCAAAAATACAATGAAGTATTTTTTTAAAAAAGAAACTAATGAAAAGGGTTTGGAGGAAACATGAAAATGACTAAATACTTTTCAGCTGGGACTCTCTTGACAACTACAGCAAAGTGTTGCTAGGGGCCATCGGCAGGATGCGTGGTTTTGAGAACCATCAATCCTCACGTTTGACGGGCTGGCCCTAAACTTAGAATAAAATCATTCCGGCAAGAAAAAGTACTACCTCTGAGCCTCTTTAAAATAGGCATTTCATGCATAGTCATCATCAGAGAAATCTTCAGGCCGGACTAAATTGAAATGTTTTCTATTTTGTGGAATGTTTTCTATACTATGTGTAGTGTAGCTTTTTCACATCATAAGTGAGTCTAAAGTTAGTCTTGTGAATTTGTTTAAGGGAGCAAGAATAATCATGTTTATATTTTATTCTATTGAAAAAGCAACTGAAATGGAAGAAGTTGAGTGACTCATCCTAGGTCACACTTCTGCTGAGTGGCAAAGTCAGGGATTTGGATTTCTTAGTCTAATTCATGTTTCAAATGTTCTACCTTCTACACCATAAGTCACCAATAATGTCTCATCATTTCTTTCCTCCAAACCAATTCTTCCACTGTGGTACCCTCACCAGAAAGTGGCCCAGATTCTCTCTCAAACCACCAGTTCTCATCTTTAGTTTGGAAAATATCATTACTAGTCCTTTAATTGGATTAGGCCAATGAATCATGGGCTGGCTGGTTGTGTGCCTTTCAGTCGATTCCAACGCATTAACAACCCTGTATAGGATTTCCCAGGCTGTAAATCTTTAACCGAAGCAGAGCCGTATCTTTTTCGCTAGGAGCAACTGTGAGATTCAAACTGCTGACCTTGCAGTTAGCAGACTGGCTTATAATCCACTACGCTGCCAGGGCTTCCAAAGTTAAATGTTTCTTGGCAAAATCTAGGTCTGTACCATGCAAGCTCAGGATTGCTCAGAGTATTTTGAAGTTCAGAGACAATCCAGCTTGCTTTCTTTACTTTCAAGATGCATTGAAGAGACTGAATAAACATTTGTTCATTAAAGGAATACATTGAACTCTTCCTAAGGGTCCAGAAATATGAGTACTGCGCTCCAGAAATGGTGCCTTTCCTTAGGGTACTTGCAGTCAAGCCAAGAAAACAATGGAGCAAAGAATCCCTACAAAGTGTGATGAGAGGCCAAATCATGGAAGTCCAGGGACTACCTAGCAAGGAGAACCACCAAATTTAGGCAGCGACCTTGTAGGCCAGGATTTTGGCCTTAAGGATATTAGAAAAACCCTGAAGGTTGTTTAAGGCAAGGCAATGACTTTGATCACATTTGTGATTAGAACGATTGAATTGGCAGAGTTATGGCTGAAGGACCAGGACTAAAGAGTAACATTTAGAAGCATGGGGGCCAATTGCTGCCATCCCAGCGAGATGATGGCAGCTATGTCTAGGGAAGTGGCTGTAAGGATGGGAAAGAGAAACATAAACTGGGCATTTTGCATTGCATAGCCCCCTTGCCACTTAACTTAAAAATAAATACCTTCTAGGATTCTGAAAATCTTCTTGTCACACCTGATGCTAGCTGCCAGGGGGCCTTCTTCATAGGCTTCAGCAGAAAGTTGAAGATAAAGCGGTCCCTTGTCATTTAAAGGCCATCCTTTCTGTTGAAAAGCTTAGCCCTTCTCTAAACCTTAAAATCACATTATTTTGGCTCTAGCAAATGCCTGGTGTGAGGCCTTCCAGAGGGGATTGTTAATGTCGCTCTCACTTGCTGAATTATTGATGAGCTTCACTGTTTCTAGAATTCATGAGCTTCAGCAGTAAGTAAAGGATGAGCATATTGTTTTAAGAAAATCAGCAGGGCACTCGGGAGGAGGTCTCCTCATGCTGTCTAAAGAGAATGGGATCATCCCAGAGGCAAATTGCTGGATGAGAGCAAACCTCATTCAACCCTCCAGTATTCAGAGTCCCTCTGAAAGCAGTAGGACTGTGAGGATCCTTCAGGTGTAACTCGGCCCATTTGAAGAGATTGATGGTGGATCAAGTACAATAGGGCATCAAAATGCCTGTGGAAAAATTGAGGTCATAGGTAATGGAATTTTTCTAAGAACTTTTTGAAAACCCCTTGGACTCCTGTGATTTCACATGTAGCACTTACCTGCCCCTGGGAATACCTGTTCCTCAGGCAGTTGGAACTCACTGGATCAGGGGATCCCAGAGTGGGTTTGTAGGGTAGAATAATGCAAAAAGGATGATGGGGAAAACGAGATTTCTGAGATCAAATCTGTAAAATGTTCTGATTCTTAACCAAGCAGGTTTCTTTATTGCAGGACTTCTCATAGCCTTTAGTATGTGATTTTCTAGGATGAGATTATAGAGTGCAATGTTTGCCAAACCTGTTTGACTCCAAAAGTTTGCAGACAGAATGAGTAGTCCACAGAGCTTACTCTGAGAAGTATTATTTGAGATTATAAAACCCATCTTAAATTCTTCTTGCAACAAAGTTATTGGCGGTGTTAAGTGCCGTTGAGTCAGTTCAGACTCATAGCAACCCTGTGTAGGGTTTCTGAGGAATGGATGGTGAACTTGAGCCCCCAACCTTGTGGTTCAAACCGGCCTTGAGGTCTCGCACTTATCCTACAGCACCACACCAGGGCCCCCTGTAACAAAGTAGGGTATAAATAAATAGCATATAAAATGAGTGAAGGTAGGATATATGTCTCATCTCTACGTACCCTAAAATTAGTACACGGCCTGGCATGCAGTAGGTGATGACTTAAGTTTGTTGAAATGAAGAACAAAATGGGCTACTTTGAAGTTATTTGACCTTACGTTGTCTATTGGGTCAGTTGTGCTAAAAGATCCTGACAGATCATCTCATCCAAACCCCCATTTTATAGAAGAGAAAATTGAGGCCAAGAGAGAAAAAGTAACTTGCCCAAGATGCCACAAGTTAGGCAGAAGTTACCAGAACCTAGGTCTCTCTTTTCTCACTTATTTATTAATTTCAACAAGTGGTGTGGCACTCAAGGATAAGCACTGGACTGTAAACCACAAGGTCAGTTGTCCAACCCCACCAGCTTGCTGGCTCCTTGGAAGCTCTACACAGGGTTGCTGAATCAGAACTGACTTGATGGCACTTAACAGCAACGACAAGAATACATTGAGTACCTGCTCTGTGCCAGACATTGGATCAGGCCCAAGTTTGCCTTTATGGAGTTTACATTCTAATAGGGGATTAAGACATTAAACTAACTGCAGACTGAATTGTGTAAGTATGCATGTGATAATTGATGTCAAGAAAGGGTTCTAGGAACGCATGAAATAGTGGGCCTGGCCTGAGGTTCACTTCCCTGTGACCCTATCTCATGGTCTCCCACCACAGTGCACGTTGACCCCATTACCACCCATCATGGGCTTGTCTATGCTCTCTTTGGCAAAGTTCATATTTATGACATCCTGTGCTTTCGAAAGCATTCACACAGCTTGTCCTAGCAAAGATTTATTTTCTGGTTTGTGAGTTTCTGAATGAAATGAGACAAATTTAAAACAAATCCCCTAGTAAGAATAATAGCATCACATACCTTTTATGAAACGCCTGTTTATGCTACTCTCTGCTTAACTACTGGCATGCATTGTTTCCTCTAATCCTCCCATCAACTCTTTGAGCTATTATATCCATTTTACAAATGAGGAAAAACTGAAACTTACAGAGTTAAGTAGTTTTCTAGTTACCGCAAAGGGAGTAAGTAAATGATGGTGCTAGGATTTGAACTGAGGTCTGTACTGCTCCAAAGTTCATGTTCTACTACAACCTAGAAAATTGGGCTCTGAATTCGTTTTTGAAGTTGATTAATTTAGAAATAAATATGTGAAGTACCTACCACAGTAGTGAGCCAAAGTGACACATAATATATGGCACTTGTCACTGTCATCACTGTTTTCACATTATCTAGACCAGGGCTTGGCAAGTTACTACCTGAATCAAGTCTGGCACGCTACCTACCTGCTTTTGTAAATAAAGTTTTATTGGAACACAGCCACAGTCTAATGTACAAATTTCCTGTGGCTGTTTTCATACTACAGTGGCAGAGTTGAGTAATTACAACAGAGACCCTGTGACTTACAAGGCTAAAACATTTAGCATCTGTACCTTTACAGACAAAAATGTGTGCAACCCTGATCTGCAGAAATGCCACGGTTTCCTCTTGTACCTTTCCACAGGCCCTACTTGAGATTATGGGCACAATGTAATAAAATTATGTGGCCTTTGCCCAAAATAGAAAGAAGGTAAAGGTGAGTAGAAGATTCAGATACTGTGTAGACATTATATCTCACCTGTATGCGAAGCTTTGTACATCATGCATACATTTTCTTACTTAGTCTCCAAAGAAATTAAGTAAATTACCTGGATCACACAGCCAATCTTCGATATGGTTTGTGCTCTTACACAGAAGATGGTCTTAACATCTTACAAGAGGCTACCTCTTGAAGCAAAGAATGCTGCCATTCTTAAAGACTGGAATCTACTCCTCCAAGACTAATTCCAAATACATATGAGACCTAATTGAAAGGAAGTTTCATCCATATGGACCAAAAAAATTAACTGGGGTTAGTTTAGGGAAGGGGTAGCTATAACTGCTTAGATTACTGGGAATGGCTGATATTGGCTCCCAAGTTGAAGTCCAAGTCTGGATGGTCACCTGCAGATCACAGCACTGCTCCTGCAGCTTGCTTCTACAACTGCTTCCTCATCCACTTTTGTGGGGAACCATCCTCCTGGGTTCTCATCTTCTCCAACAGCCATTTGCTGTACAAAGACCACAGTGTCTTCTAATCTTCTGGAGGAGTCCCTCCTCAGTTCTGAGGGCACCTTCAATCAATGTTTCTTCCTCTGAATGGAAAGCATAGTGGCCAGAATGTTTGATTGCTTGCTATGGTGACTGTCTCAAGTGGAAACAAACATACTCGTTTCTTTCACTTTGGCGTAGCAGTCTGCTATCAAAAGTCCTCGAAACACTAAACTTCCATGGACTATTTAGTGAGTGCCTGCCTACCTTGGGCCAGGTCTTGTACTGGACAGTTACACTCACATTTGTTATCTCATTTAAGAATAATGGATCAATTCTCAGTTATTTCGTGGCAGAAAATTCCATTTATTGTCATATTTCTAGCAGTTCACTGCTTGTAATAGTCATACAAATTAAGTTTATAGACTGCAGAGTGCTTTCACAGCCAGAACTTTTTCTGAGCCTGAGCAGTAGCAGAGAGAAAAGATAGAAGGCATATCATGGAAGTTGTTTTTTGATAGCCCCTCTGAGAAAAAGAGTTGGCAGTTTTGTTAAAATGAAGACTTGAGTGATAACCAAGTCTTCACAAAATAGAAGCCAATGTGAATGATGAACTTTACAGATTCTCAGGCATACAGATTCTCAGCCACAAACTCAGAGAGTAGAGCTTGGTCATCCAAAACCTTTAAATCTACTTAAATAGGAATATAAGCTTTATCATATGACCAAAGCAAAACCAAAGCCAAGAGTCTAAATATTGCCTGGCCCTTGTTGATTAAATTGTCCGTAGTCCATTCAGTCAGCTGGCCACTCCTGTGGTAATGTCCCAACCCATTTCGTACATATCCCTTTGGACACTTAACATTGAAGTTTTTTGCTGTTTGTTTTTTATTGTTCTTTTTTCTTTTCTTATATAAATTGTCTCCTTTGGATAAGCTACAAGCTCCTCAAGATTAAGAATTGGGTCTTGCTCATCTCTGTACCTCCAGTATTGGTCCACAGAAGGTGATAACAAATGGCAGACAGGCAAACAGATTGTACAAAATTGCGGGAAAGTAACCTGCTTGTCCCTGGGCCTGCAATCACAGACAGCACCAGTTCGTCTTTCTCACAGCTGTCAGTGGGGCTCCTCTAGGTACAGAACCTTCATCTCAGTGTGGCTGTACCAGAAGGGAAGAAAAAGATTCAAGCCTTCTTCCTCAAAGTCAAGACAGTTGTTTAGGAGGAAATAGAGCAAAATTAATGAAAAGCCTAAGGTCCAATACAATTGACCTAGTAACAAGAGTTGGAAAAAGTATAGCCCTTTAAAATGATACATAAAAGTGCTAGGAGGACACAAGGAGTAAGTGGAGATGATTTCTTCTTTCCAAACAGCTTCTAGAGTCAGGAAAACCATCAGAGTGAACATGGAGCAGGCAAAAGCTCCATTGGTCAGAAGCTGATGGCCCACATCCTCTGCCTCCAACTCTAGAATCCCAATCACCTTTGAAAGAGAGGGCTTTAGATGTTCAAGGTCTTTCGATACACTTCCTCAGTATACAATCTTAGCAAGTCCTTTTCCCTGTCTGTGTCTCAGTTGCCTTCTCTATAAAGTTCTTGTTGTTATGTGCCATGGAGTCGGTTCCGACTCATAGCGACCCTGTACAGGGTTTCCAAGACTGTAAATCTTTACAGGAGCAGAAAGCTTCATCTTTCTCCCATGGAACAGCTGGTAGTTTCGTTAGCGTCCATCTAATGATAATTACTCCCTGAGCTGCTGTGAGCATCAGTATAGTGATGGATGGGAAAGTATTTGTAAGTTGTCAGGTCACGTGTGAGTGTGTGTGATTGTAGTTCACTGTGGACAGTCATGCCCTGACTCAGTGTTTTGCCTTGCAGAGGGTTGCCCTGGGTTATGCAATGGTAATGGCAGATGTACCTTGGACCTGAATGGGTGGCACTGCGTGTGCCAGCTGGGCTGGAGAGGAGCTGGCTGTGACACATCCATGGAAACCGCATGCGGTGACAGCAAAGACAACGATGGAGGTAGGGCTCTGGCTCCCCCGGTCCCCATGCAAACATGGAAGTGGGAGGTCCAGGGTGGACCATGGGTATTACTGAGCTAATAGGCCACTGGCACCAGCTGCCCAGGCAGGAAGAGTTGCAGGGCAGGCAGAAAATTGAACATGTGGTCTGTGTACATATCACCAGTTGTTCCATTTGAATTAATTAACATTAACTAATGTAAATGAAATTAATTGCTGTCCATCCACAAATGCAGAGAAAAAGACAATGGAAGGCTTGTGGAAGAAGGAGTTTTCTAACAATTCAATGGTGGAATGAGTTGCCTAGCAACATCCTAAATTCCTCCTTTCTAGAATAAACTTCCTAATTCTATATCACCGCTGCTACGGAAGGGAGGCTTCTCCAGGGGAGGAGGCTTGTGTCACCTTTGGTTAATGTCTCTTCTCCTCTGGTTCTTTGGATAACTCTCACCAAGTACATTGAGGGACCCCTTGGCCCTCACAGCCTCTGCCCCTGTGGACTTGTGATAGAAGTCTTCTGCGTCATTGATTTTGCTCAAGCACTGGGCAAACAATGCTCCAAGGAAGGCGTATCTAGTCTTGTGGCACATTTATTAGCTGAGGGTGAAGAAATTCATTTTCTAATCCCAATTCCTGGGATTCATGCAAGCACCTTGACACCTCCAGCTATCACTCTTCTTATTTATAAAATTAGGACCATTCGCCCACTCGAACATTTCAGGCCTTTATATTCTGGTGTTTATTTTTCTGTTGTGTAAACATAAATATAACCATAGTGTGCTATACTTTCCAATCTGGCATGTAGATTGGTGATGCCTGGTTCTCCCAATCTCAGGAGAGAAAATATCAGACAGAATTGTGGGAAAAAATCAAAACCATCAACCCTCTCTTTCTAATATTGGCCTGACAGTCAACCTGTTCCAAACATGTTTATGCAGATTCCTCAGATCTATGCCAAGGGACAGTCTGGTGTAGTGAACAGAGTGTGGACTCAACAGGACAGAAAATCAGCATTCCAACCTTTAAGAATTTTCTGTGGAGAAGAGTGTTTAAATTTCAAGGTGCCATAAGGTCTAAAAAACCAACTGTGTGATATTGTGATTACTCGGGTTCATTTGCCTTGAGATGGTTTCAGCACTCTACAAGAAGAAAAGGCTGCCCCAGACACTGGTCTTTCTCTGAGCCTGCACTCACTTCTTCTGCCTGATGCTCTTGGTGGCCCAAGCCTGAGCCCAGTTGAGTAACTGTCAATAAGGAGCATGTGGGTTTGGGCCTTGGTAGATGGTGAGTCTGTTTTCCTCCTTAGACCTGATAAGGTTGAAATGTCCCTTAGTCAATCTAAAACTTGTGAAACTCAGTAATTTTTGTGTCCTTCCATAAATATTCAGGGTTTCTACTATAGAACCAGGCCCTCTGCCAGGCATAGAGATAAATAAGTCCTGTCCCTGTCCTCCAGGAACACATATGAGGGGGAAAGACCCAAAGATAAGTGCAGATGTACTCTGATAAGTTCTGTTGTTGAGTTATTATACATTGCTGCTGTGTGCGTAGGAAAACATTCATCAAGAAAGTGATAGGTAGGAAGTTCCTGGAAGTGGGATGGATTTCCATTCGGTGAGATTATCATGGGCAAAGACAGCCAAGAATAGGGAAGAGTGCAAGAGTAACCCTGTCATTAGACAAGGTGAAGTATAATCATATTTGCTCTTCTTGGGAAGTAGATGTCAGCTTAAATTACCTGACATTTAAGATATATTGACATTACCTTAAATTTCCATTCACTTTGCCTGTGTAGACAGAATCCCAGTGACTAACAATACCATTCATGGAATAGACAGGAAAGGGAGAGAAACTACATGATGAAGTCATTCCTTCTCTAGAGTCCAGCGTCCTGGTGAAGACCTTCAAATATCTGTTGGACTTTTTGGTAGCAAAATAACTGAATGTCTTTGACAAAAGTGGTGACAGGGCACACCAAACACACACACCCCTGAGCTCCCACCCCACCCAGACACATGTAGGAACAGGAACTAAAACTAGGTTCATTTATTCCCTCACATAAGATATAATACTCATATGCCCTTTGTTAACCATACTTGGAAAAGAGACCTTCTTATTGTGAGCAACAGCATTGATCCAGACCCCAGGGGAAGAGCATCTTCTCAAGCTGTTCCGAGAGATGAGGCAACAGGAATTGGAAAAGAACAGTCAGAAAATTTCCAGTGGTAGAGATTATCCCTTTTCATTTATAGAACACGTCCTAATTTGAAGTGAGCTTTTACGTGCCTTTTTAGCACGCAGTAGCTGTAGTGTGAGTTCATTCACCTACTCATCAAATGTGAATTGAGTGTCTCCTCAGCATTGAGCCTAGTCCTGGACACAAATGTTTCAGAGACGAGAAGATAAAAGTCCCCACGTTTGTGAAGGTCACACTGTAGAAGGAGAGAGAAAACAGTAAGCATGAATCTTAGTGCAGTGGGATGATTGCTGTGACAAAGGAACACCCACCCACTCATTCACCTGTGATATGTCCTCATGCGGCATTCAGTCTAGTCAGGGCGATTCCCCATAGGTCAGCAGGATAGGGAAGATAACTAGTTGGGCAGGACTGTTGAGAGGTGTGGGCCTTGGATTCTCATCTGTGAAAAGAGGAAACTTGTATCTCAGGACCATCTCAGTTTGATGGGGTTCTCCACCCATTGAGGGAGATGGGGAAAGGTACAGAGCTCCCCTACTTTTCAAGGTGGCACAGGTGAAACAGCCACAGGGAGTTAACTTTCCTCAAGTGACCCCTTTGGGTCAGTGCTTATCCTCACTGGCCTCCTTATCACTTTGGGCCTTGGCAAAAACAGGGCAGTTTAAGGGGAGGAAGAAGAAGCGTAGTGTCTCCAAGGCAGCACAAGAGTGAGCCACATTCAGCGTTGGGTTCTTTTCAGCTTTGTCAAGCACACATATGTTGGGCTTCTGTGGTATCCAAATCACCGTGCTCCTTTCTGAGGGCATATAAAGACCAGTGAACACAGACAGCCCAGTCTTTTTCCCTCAGGAAGCTCACAGTCATTTAGAAGCAAATGTTATCCAAGCTAAATCTAATGGAGGAAGAGTTAAGTAAGTACCTGGGGACACAGCATAATCCCAGACAAATAATTTAGGACCAAGGGAGATAGTGTTACAGTCTCTATGAGTGATTGTTTATGGCTAATTTGACTCAGGAGCTTCGAGAAGGAATTAAGAGTCGTGTCATTAGACTAGAAGGGACATCAGAGAACATCGACTTCAACTCTCTTAACTCCTCGCTTGTTACAGACAGACAAACTGACGCCCAGAGAGGCAAAGTTGGCATGCCCAAAGTCAAATTCAAAGTTGTTAACAAAGTCTGCACAAGGGCCTAGTTGTTGTTGTTAAGGACTGTGGAGTCAGTTCCGACTCATAGTGACCCTGCTCAGGGTTTCTAAGGCTGTAAATCTTTACAGGAGCAGAACGCCTCGTCTTTCTCCCGCGGAACCACTGGTAGTTTCAAACTGCTGACCTTGAGGTTGGCAGCAGGACTCGTAACCACTACTCTACCAGGGCCTAAGACTCTCAAATTATTCTGCATGACCTTGTGAGCCTAGAACTCCTTCTAGTGATTTCTTCTACTAGAAGTATAGAAATATAGTGTGAGTTCCAGAAAGCCTACCAAAGGATGGTTGTTGTTGTTGTAAAGTAACCTGTATAGGGTTTCCAAAGAGCAGTGGGTGAGTTTGAATTGCCAACCTTGAGGTTCAAACTGACCTTGTAGTCCAGTGCTTATCCTACAGCGCCACACTAGGACTCCACCAAAGGATGTCATTAATAACTTTTATATCATTTTATAGTGTTCCAAGCAATTGTACATGCACCCAACAACATTGTGAGGCATTTGATATTGTTGCTGTTGGGTACCATCGAGTCCATGTCTACACATAGCAACATCATGTGACAGAATAGAACTGACCCATAGGGCTTTCTCGGCTGTAAATTTCATGAGAGTAGATTGCCAGATTTTACTCACACAAAGCACTTGGAAAGACTCGAACCACCAACCTTTCTGTTAGCTGCCATGGTCTTAACCAGCAGGAATCCTTTTGCAATTATTATTGCCATGCTATTTCCTTCCCAGGAAAAAAACGGTTTAGAGAGCAGAAGTGTTTTGCCCAGCTCACACAGTTAGAAGGTGGCAAAAACTGCCTTAGTGCATGTGATCTGCTTATATTAGAGCTTTTCACTGTGCCCAGCCGGAGGAGCATGGCTCCAGTTCAAACAAGTGCGGCCCACCAAGTCATCTAGGAACTCCACTTTCTCTTCTTCCCCAATTTGCTAGGTTTAGAGTAATCCTTTTCAAATTAAACTTGAATTTCAAGCTTCATTAAGAATGTAGGTGCAGTGTTTTTTTAAATTGTTAAGACAAAAAAAAAAAAGTACAGTTACACAATATGGTTGAGCTGGGAGCAGCTTTATTGGGTTTTGTGTTCATTTATGGTTGTTGTCTAGATTTAAAAACAAAGCCAGATCCTGATTGTGACTCAGTGACTCCCAAGGTCCTGATGGCTCTGTTGGGACCACCCATTCAATCCTACATGTCTCCAGATATCAACAGGACACCGGCTGGTGAGAGGGACCTGTGTACCAGTTCCAGAGCTTCTTACTCACTCAGCCACTCACTGTGAAATCCCTCTGTGTTCCCTACTGATAGCAAAGGTACAGCCTATTCGTAACATGCCCTTTAGGGGGCAATATTACAGCATCTTCTCATTGGATGCACACCAACCTTCTGAAGGGGAGCTCCTTTTCATGACCATTTCAAAGTTTACAAAACTGGAACCCAAATATGCTAAGTGAATGTAAAATGAGGACAGTGCCTACCTTGCAGGGGGCTGTGAGTAGGACAAACCAAATATTTAGGTGCCTGAGAGACCAGACAGCACAAAGATGAAATTGTGCAATACCTCCAGTGTTAGGGTCAAAGCCCATTTGCTAACT